AATTAAGAAATTTTTGTATTGAATCAGAAAATGCATAGCTTTGGAATGGTACAATGCATTCTGAGATCGTAGCATCTGAACCGAAACTCTGAACTGAGAGTGAGTAGTACCTCTGAACTGGCCGTGGTTATGCTCTGTTTTAGTTTCGATTTCCGTTTCGGTTTCACAATACCAGCAGCTGATGAGATCATGAGGTGAGGGCAAGAAAATCAATAGCCATAGGCTGTGCTGACATTGTGTGAAGATTGCGGAATTGAGGGGTTTTTCACGGATTTTTCGGCGAGTTTGACGGTTTGACAGGTTTTTTTCAGCTACGAACACGCCCGGGGTATAAGAGATGGCCCTGTGAAAATTGCATCCAGATCGCTTGGGCGGTTTGGCCGCCTATAGGGAAGATACATAGATACATAGATACATACATACATACGAACTCAAATATATATTAGATGAAGCCATGATGTTTCGTGGGATGACTAACACACTAATTTATTCACTAGGCTGGAGATTGACATCGCAGCATTGGCTACAGCACGTATTGGTGTGCCAATGCTATATGAGATCATTGAGGTAGGATCATCAACTGCTATAGTTATTACAACATTGATAGTTTTAACTTGCGTGGTTAGGTATTTCATGAGAAAATTTTCTTAGATTAGTCGTTGAATTGCAAAGATGCCATTACTGTTTTTATACTCATATCCAGTGTACATCTTTTTCTTTACGTTTTTGGTAGTATGTGAAAGATGATCTGACAGACCAGAACATTCCGCACGGGGAATGTTCCATCTGCCTGGAGCTTTTTGAAGAGGCTGATGTCTTCACAAAAACTGAATGCTATCACCACTTCCATCAGTACTGCCTGGGAAGGTGACCACCTTTCACATGCATCTAAACAGAGGAATTGCTCCGACCTGTGATTGGAGGATAAAAATAGACCCCGCCCACTTTTCCATTTTTGGAGGATAAAAATAGAATTCGTGACGTTTCATTTTCATTTTTCATACTCCGCTGCATTCGCTGAGCTAGGAAAGTGTACTAACTATCATATGGTGCGAACGATTTGAGTTACCATTTCTATAACTTCTAGCTATTATAGATACATGTCTTAGCTATAATCTCTGTAAATTTTGAGTTTCTTGAGGCACGATTAGTCTAATTAATAAGCAATTATGCTCGCGCGGTATCGCTCATAGGCTAATATACGTGCGGCTCAAGGTGCGGCTATGGTCGGTGAAATAAAACGTCACGAATTCTATTTTTATCCTCCAATCACAGGTCAGAGCAATTCCCCTGTTTAGATGCATGTCATCTTTCACAGTTCTTCATAAGTACCCGTATGTAACCTATGAACCTGTGGATAACTGGTTTTGTACTTGGCTGGCAATACGCGAAATGGTAGAAACGGGTATCGAATAGCGACAATATGAGCTGAAATTGAGGGTGGTGAGAATGGTGGTGCCATGCCACATAGTGGGTGCATTTGCATGTAAGATCACAAAGCAGTAGAATAGCAAGTCTGTTTAATAGTAAGACATCAGAGACTTACATGAAATCTATAAGATCACTGGTATATTTATGTTTATCACTTTTTAATCTCGTGAGGTTTTCCGGTGATAGCAGTTGCTCTCTGATGGCTTATACAGCCATTGTTTATTGTAGGTATGTGGAGCACAGCCTAGCAGAGCAGAAGATTGCTCAGCGGGAAAAGTCAACTGCAACTGCCTTAGCTGAGAGTACGAAACCCTGTGTGAGTGAGACAACCGAGTTCCACTTTATTCAAGGATAGCTGTTATGATTTATCAAGTGATAGCAGTAATTGTACTACTCCTATAAAATTGTAACAGAACCTTTTGGCAATAGTTTATTGGAGGGTGCTATTTCATTAACATTATATTGCGCTATGGTTTTTAATAGGTCTATGTGTGGATGTATATTTACTCACAAACATTTCGAGCAACCTTATTCTATGAATTGATACATTATCTACATGAAGTGTCTCATCATGATTCATCATTGATATCTAAGAATGGGCTAACATGGAAAAAATTTATTTTCCAGGTGCTTTGCCCAGTATGTCGCGTAGAGATAACCTTCAATCTCCCTCTGCTCAAATCTGCTCCGCCACCTGTTAGCAGTCTTGAGAAGGTCTCATTTGAGCCAAGTCCTGAAGTTGTTGAATTGCAGCAGCAGATGGCAGCACTATTTCAGCAGCAGAAGAAGAGGGGAGCTATCATTAATGTAGAAGAGGAGCGAAACAAGTTCTTGCTGGATCCCAACTGGGTAGAGACATAAAGTTCTTTTTTTGAATTAATGAAATTGTTTTTTAGATATTAAACTGTTCTCGCTTCATGTTAATCATGGTTTTTACTCCCATACCACATGCCCAGTGTTGTAGAAAATATCAGTTGTTGTGATTTTGCTATTGCAGCTTTATCGCTATCACATTCACATTCAGTTACTATCATATTCACTAGCATTACCAACTATTTTTTCAGGTATTGCCTCCTGCGGCTGAACATGCAAACAGTGCAGACTACAGTCATCCACCCGTCGCGTCTGTCCAGCAGAAAGGCGTCTTTAATAGTCGCCGCACAACGCAGCACCACCCGTCTAGCAGCCAACGATCTAGGAGCGGCCGCTTCAGAGGCAGAGACAGAGCCGGCGGTAGAAACCGAGGGAATAGAGACGATAAATCGGGCGAATACGGTGGCAATCGACATGTGAACTCTGACTACAGTGCGGCGTGGAAGGCGAGAGGCGGACATGGCGAGAAATCGCGTCGTCACCGGTGCGGCGAGCGCAGACCTGGGGACACGGACAGAACCACCAACTATCCAAGTGATCGTGACGCAACAGGGAGGAACCAACATGAGCCTCCTGGGCATCAAGATGGATATGCCGAGAAGCCACGGATAGAAGACCGCTCGACGGGAAATCGTGGCGGGAGCGCGAAAGCGGCAGCGTCCGTCGGTAGCGCCGCGCGCAATACTCCGGCGAGAAATGTCGCGGAGGGCAGGCGAAGTGCTGGCGTGTCCAGTCGTGACGGATCAGACAGAAGACGCGACGAACGACGCAGGGAGAATGTTAACGAGCTTAGCCACACGCACGCTGATGATAGAAATACTCACAGTGCTGATTGTCACCGGCCTGTACACGATGGCGCCACCGCTGCACGACACGATGGCGCCACCGCTGCACGACACGATGGCGCCACATCTGCACGGCACGATGGCGCCACCGCTGCACGACGTCACAGAGAGCAGGTATCCGTGGCGGGTGGCGAACGCGCGAGAGCGAGTGATTCGTCGAGCGGTCTTTCCAAAGAGAGGCGCGGCGACGAGCACACTCGCAGGGGTCGAGGACGAGGAGGAGCTAAGAGGTCGGGTCAGAGTTCCGAGAGGAAGCATCTAGATCATCATCATGAGGAGGAGCCAAAGAAAGCTAGTCAAACCAAAAACTCTAGGGAGCCGAGAGCCGCAGCTGCCGCAGAGATTTTACGTAACGACACGGGAAGCGTTCGCCATAGCGATGCCGCTGCTGCAAAAGTTACGAGGGCGCCGCCTGGTTTCGAAAAACTCTTTTCCGATAAGAAAGCATTGCCGAACGCAGCTTCCATCAAGCCACCGCCTGGGTTTGGTCTCTCCTCCTGACAAACAGTTGGACTGCGGAGGCGTTTTTTACTCGGCGGTTACATGTGCTTTTTGGTACTTTGACGATGTCGGTTGTTTATCGCGATTTACGCCTCTAGTAGTTGCCTACTGCGACCTTCTGAGATAGGTAGCTTTGTAATCCATATTTAATTGCCAGCCGACTGGTCATGACACCTCGCATTGATGACGGAGGAAACGTTTCTACTAAAATCCCTCGAGTAAATGTGTGACGTCTACTAAGTGTTCACACTGATAAGCTTGCTACCTTGGACATCATTTGCCGTATTCCGAATGTGCTACGATACGAATGAAGCTGTAGAAATTGCACTGTAAATGCAAGACTATAGTCTCACCTAGTCACTATAGCTTCCATCTCGCCTTAAAAAAATCGTATCGCAAATAAAATCATCCTGCGCGATCATGTGTATCACAGGGACTGATTAGAAATGCGAACAGGGATATACCACGTCGCGTGCGTGGGAATAGGCTTATAAATATTATTATAAATAGATGGTTTTGCTACAATACGACTTATACTACACCCCGTATGTATGTAGCGAGAGAATCTTGCAAAGTCATCAAGCGATTGGGTGTAAGTAGAAAGATGCCGAGTGGATAGTTCGGACACAAGTACACAAAGTAATTGATAGTGCTACGCGAGTTTTATGTGACCTTGCAACCCGGGAGCCGGATTCCATAGCTGAATGGGTTAGGCGTTCACGCCGTGATAGACCCTCGTGAATAATTCATGAGCTGTTTAAATGACTCTGGTTATGAATATCAAAATTTTTATCATCCAGCCACCCGGCTTTATGGAGTGCCACGAAACGGTCGGGTGTTGCGTCACCGTCGTGTTATATAGAAGTTAAGTATCACTATCAGCCACGGCGGGCTGGCTGATGGCGCGAATTTACTTTTTGACAGCAATTACTCAGCGCTTTTGAGAGACGGTGACTCACTTGAGGTTTATCGCCTTTACTCAGCTTGCTGCTGTGTGCGCATGCGTGCATGTTAGATGGATCGCTACCGGGGATGAATAATGAGAAATTAGCCATTATTTACCCCTGGTCGCTACGCTAGTCATTGCAGCTGCTTTACTGTAATATCGCTATGGCGAGAATCGTGATTTTTGGGTGAATCGCAAATACGACAGGTTTACCGCGAGCGTAAAGCATGTTTTTGTGAATCGGTTTTTTTTTAGAAATCAGAAGCTGTAAACATTATAAAGCCTTCGCATGCTCTACACCCGTGTGTCGGGTAAGACTGAGATGGGCTAGCTATACTGTTGTGGCATAGATTGTTCTGGCCTCGTACAACTATTAAAGCTATAATGTTGATCTGCATTCTAACCGGTCCACGTGTGTGTCGATCTTTTCGCAATTTTCATCAGCGATTGGCATGTTTGACTATCGACATTTTGTAACGATTTTTTCGTAACTGCTTTGGTTTTGGTTTTGGCATGTACTGCAATGACATAGCTTTGAGTAGACACGCCGCAATCTATCTTCGATTTTCGATCGTTAGACGTGTAGAAATCTCGGCGGGCATGTAAACATTGCAAGCTCACTTGCCCGACGGGTTCCGATCCTGCGTTAAAAGCTTATAAACTATAATACAACTGGCCATTAACTAAAGGTTTTTTTAATTTAAAATCATGACATGTTAACACCGGAAACGAATGGCGTCTAGAAGTTGTCTGGTGTACACTTCTTTACTCGATACTCCAAAAATATTCCTGCAAAATATATGGGCAACTAACGAATGTCATTCGGGCATGTACATTTGACAGAATACTTGCCCGAATGGCAAGTGATTCAAAACGTTTTTCGTGAAGACTGCGTAATGTTTACTAGTTCTAATCTGCTATCTTCTGCGAATAGTGATTCTGAATATTGGCGTCATCACTCAACATAACTGCTGTGGCATGTCACCCATCTGGCTGCCATCCCATAAATCCGAAAGTCATATTTAACCGAAATTGTGTACATTTACTCATATGCGCCAAGGAATGGTTGCAATGCTTTCAAAATCATTGCTTACGAATAACACTGAAAGCACGTAGTGAACTAATTAGACGATTCACAGAGTTGCGTTAATTAGCTCGCACACGTATGTGACTGCAATTAGCGAAGTCAAGCTTGGCTTCTCACTCATTACTTACTTACTTACTTATTCTGTTAACTCCTAGTGGAGCATAATTAGGCCACAGCAGAACTTTGCCGTGCTGTACGGTCTTTAGCCAGGATCTCTGCTGCGCCCCAGGTGAGCCCAATTTCCTTCACCTCCGCCTAGACGGTCCGGCGCCAGGTGATCTTTGGCCGTCCTCTGTTTCGTTTTCCTTGGGGTGTCCAGCGTAGTGCCTTTTTTGAGATGGTGTTGTCCGGCATTCTGAACACATGCCCAAGCCATCTGAGTATGCGTTGTTTTCATCTCATCAACAGTGCAGGATGAACTGGTCTTTACACTCATTACAACCCACTTAATTCGGTGGCACTGATGTGCGAATGTAGTAGACGTATTTCGCTTAAATTGACTACGTCACGAATTTTCTATGGTAAAATTTGTAAAATGTTTGTTGCCATTTTTTACATTAAAAGTAAGAACTAACGGGACTAAACGTATCGTCAAATTCTTACCTGATAAGATTGTTTCTCAACTAGTTAAAAATTCAAAAAACCTGGACGATTTGAAATAGTGTTCCTGACATTAATTGCTTGCTATGGGCTATGTATGAGTCACGGGTGTATGTTCACATCGAACAATATAGTAAAATAGGAAGTATAATGCAGCAATTTAACCATAAAAATGAACAGAATTACTTATATATATTTTGTGAAAAAGCGGAAATGTTTTTTTAATTTTTTCTATTTACGGTGACGTAATCACTGACGCAGGCATTTTTAGATGCAGAGACGCAGCCTCCCTCAATCTCTTTCCCAAACTTCTAGCTGGAGATATAAGGGGCGCAATAGCCATTATCGCTATCATAACACATAGCCAGAGCTTTCTACACTTGCGAAAACAACACGCTGCTGCCGTTGCACATGCACTTTCATCAGAGTTAGTGCGTTCGGTGTCTGAAGGCATCATTAATAAACTCCTGGCCTACTAGGCGCCTATAGTAGGCGCCTCATGTTTTTTTCTCACGCTGTTGTACGGTGTCTATAGAAACAACATCGTCGTTGCCTGTGTTTGTCAAACATGTCGCGTTGTTTTTATATGCGATTCCTTCCAGCCTATGATTTTTATACAGAGCCTTACGTGACCTCGATCTTATGTACAATTTCAGACCTCGATTTTCTGTACAAAAAACTTATATAGGATGATGATGATGATGATGACGATGATGATGGTGGTGGTGATGGTGATGATGATGACGATGCTGACGACGATGATGGTAATGCACTTCGTGTATGTAGTCGAGATATATAGTTCTTGATTCTGTAAATATACTAGCATGCATGTGCGCTTGCTGTCGGCTGGCTTTGAACGGCATCGGTTGGCTTTGAACGTGATCAGATCAGATCTCTTCTCGTGCGTACAGCCAGCGTTCGTCGCCTGCCGTGAAACCCTCGTGCGTACATTTACATACTATTTAGCATCGCTGCACTGACTGGTAACCCGTTACTATGGCAACAGGTTCTGCTTGCATCTATGACAAATACGACATATGCATATACGCTCTCCTATGACACTATTTGTCTTAGGAAGATTCTTCCTATGACAAATATTGGCGAGTCAACATCGTTCCGCTTTACAGCTGAAATTCACTGCTTGCGTTCACAATAGCGCTCCTAGACTCCTATTCTGATGCGCACAATCCGTACAACAATATTTGTCATAGGAAGAATCTTCCTATGACAAATATTGTCACAGGAGAGCGTATATGCGTATGTCGTATTTGTCATAGATGCAAGCAGAACAGGCTGAGTATAGTAACTCTCCCACCTTTCTTTCGCGCCGTGCCGTACCGGCCTGCAAGCACACCGCTATCGAACTACCTCTGTTGATTCACAAGCGTTTCGGCCCATTCGGATAATTAATTTACAAGCATATATACATGGACTGTATAATCACACAGCACGAACGTAGTAGCATGAGCATATATGTATGTGTGTGTCTCTACATGCATGCATACTCGGTGAGCGTATACATATGTTCACGGTAGTAGTTGCAGGCAATAAAAGTAGTTCGGTAATAAAGTAGTGGTACTATCTCAACTACGCGGATAGAATCCTGAAGATATTTTAACGGAGTAGCTTTTGATGTGTTTACCGTAGCAAGCACGCAGATATTTGATATTGCTATATATATATATATATATATATATATATATATGCTTGCTATAGACTCGTTGCTGTGTGCTCCTGTGACTACGTCACCACTACTTTCTGACAGACGTAAGATTGTAAATGATCTCACTGTAACATCGTGAAACCCAGTTGCGTGGTCTGTCGGGGCGTTCAGTGATCGTGTGTGTACACCAACCCATGTACTCAGTTGCGCTTGCTATACTACTCGGTTGCTACTTGCTATACGGATTAGTTAATGTAAACGGAGGTCATGTCATGCTGTGATGAATGACTGATATAGAGACATTTGTACACATTGTGTCACATATTCATATACTGGTTGTGATACATTGGATCACAGACGTTGTAGTAGCGCTTCTAGAAGATTCATTATACATGCCGTGTGCGTGCTTTGCAAGCAAGCCAGGCGAGATTGGCAGTGGCGTGCCCAAAGTATCTCCTCGGGGGCTCGACAAAATTTTGTCTATAGATGCGTCTTACTTGTAAAGTCAGAAATAACGCGGAAGGATTGCAGGACCGCCGACTGAGCTACGCTCGATCCCCATGATAATAGCTCCTGATAATAGCAATATTAGAAATATTTATGGATCCTGGCTGTGACTAAAATAAGAGTACAGCACCTTCTATCGTGTTTCTCGTTTTGGCAACACAAACATAAGTTCCAGAAATAAATATATACAATATGCATTCTCGATTTAAACGAGCTTGAATTACGGGAATATAGCGATCAGACAATTACAATTTCGCAGTTGCAGCGATATATCTCACATACACACATTTATTATATCATTTCATTTTATTGTTCAGTCGTTTGCGATATTGATGTGCTGCGCTTTTGATCCTTTTATGTAAAAAGGCGCAATATAAATAAATATAATAATAATAATAATACAATAAAGAATAATAATTACGCTAGCTTATATTTGATTGTTTGTATTTATATATTCTTATATTATATTTGCGGCTTCCGATAAATGACCGCTGGCCCGCACGCAGGCGGGTGCGGGTTCATGTAAGAGCCTATCCTAGCTTGAGCTGGGTTCCGTCCTGCCTGTGGGCGGCCCTGCTTGCAAGTAAATCTGCGTGCGAAATTTCGATGATGCGCTCTCGGCGAGTGAGAAGCATTTCGACATATAGATATCAGCAGGAGTTAATGAAGACAAATTCATTGTCATTTGTCTTCATTAACTCCTGATATCAGGCACGTCGCCAGGCACAGTCCTGGAAGCTTGGGCTTCAACATCATTTGCGGATTAAAAATAAATAAATTACAAGTGCAGTTGCAATATACTTTATACTGTATTTCAAATGTTAAAATTTCATTTTAAAACTCGTCAGCGCACACCATTTTCCACGTAGCATTTAAAAATTTTTGGGGGGAGCCCCCCCCGGACACCCACCAGGGGGAGCGGGAAACCCACTCACACACTCTCCCCCTTTACGGCGCTTCGCGCCTTCATGACTGGGCTTCAACATTAGTCAATCCCTGGCGATGGCCCTGGATATATACATAGACGCATCTATTTCTACATACCCGCGAGTGAAAAGCATTTCGATATATATATATACATATATATATAGAGAGAGAGAGCGAGAGAGAGAGAGGGAGAGAGCGAGAGAGAGAGGGAAAGAGAGAGAGAGAGAGAGAGAGAGAGAGAGAGAGAGAGACAGAGAGAATGCTGGCGCGATCGAGGGATATCCCAGGCTTCATCATGTTACTGGATGCGAATGCTCACGTACAGGGTAAGCGTGTTGGTGATGGAGGTCACGCAGAGCGACCGTGTTACGGTTATATCTAGCACATATTCATACAGGTGTGATTATTGGAATAGTGTGTGCTCACAAACGTTAATGTCTGGCTGCCTACGTGTGTGTGCGCGCGCGCGTGCATAGGTATGCGCGTGCGTGCGTGCGTGCGTGTGTGTACGCCTTTGTCCGCGTGCGCGCGCGTGTGTGCGTGCGTGTGTGCACGCCTTTGTCCTCGTGCGCGCGCGTGCGTTCGTGCGTGCATGCGTGCGTGTATGTACGCATTTGTCCGTGCGCGCGTGCGTCCGTGCGTGCGTGCATAGGTGCGTGCGGGCGTGCGTGTATGTACGCACATTTGTCCGTGCGCGCGTGCGTCCGTGCGTGCGTGCATAGGTGCGTGCGCGCATGCGTGTATGTACGCACATTTGTCCGTGCGCGCG